TCGCGCGCCGGAAGCTGAGGTTCTGCTGCTGGAAGAGTCGCTGGAACTGATGCAGAGATACGTAGTCGATGAACACCCACTCCTCTCCCTTAAGAGCCTCGGCTAGTTTGGAAACCTGGTATCCATAGGGGTCACAGTGCTCCCTCGACTCCCAACAGTGCGACAACGAGATTACCTGAGTGCCGTCAGGCGCCTTGCCATCGGCCCAGACTTGGACCTCGGAAGCGTGACAACAAGCAGAGGCAGACTTCGGGCCGGGAGATTAGTGCATGTCGCCATCATATCGCGCCTCCTCGTGTGTCACAAGTGCCGTGCGGCAGTCCACGTAGGCGGACTCCGCTTCCTGGCGCCGCGGGAGACGCTGTCCTTCCCGGTGCAGCTTCAGAATGAAGTCGGCTCGCACCTGGGCAGGACGCTTCATGGCTTCACACAGCAAAAGTGTCAGAGGTGTGATCCGTCACACATGTTGATTATCACGCACAACAGGCAAGATCGGATGGCTGCAGACCTTTGCAGAGTTCAACCTCGTAGCTTGGGGTGCGCACAAGCCGGATGTCCGCATCTTTCAGGAAGTCCGCCAGCCCCTGCTTCTGAGCCAGGTCGTAGCGCTTGGGCTGGCGCAGGTGCAGGCGTTGTGCGACGCTGTCGCGGAGCAGGCAGGGAAACGCTCGCTCACCCCGCGCCCCGGCCTCTTGGGGCTCCGAAGCTGGATGCGGTCGGCGGAGGCAGCGTGCCACGTCTTCACAGTTCAGTAGGCCCTCGCCTCCGGACAGAAGTGTGCACCACAAACTATAGCCTTCCGAAATCGCACTGGCAAGGTGGTTCTGACTCTGTCGATCTCCAATTCTGAGCTTCCGTCGATCGGGGACAAGCTCTTGCAAGATGTCCTGGCCCATCTGCTCGGGCATGTTGCAGCAAGCTGGGCACGCAGTCTCTGCCTGGAGCATCTCTACGGTGAAACGGTCGCCTGCCACGCGCCGGGAAGAATCCCTACACGACATCCTGATTCCGGGTCCTGAAAACTTGGTCGTTGGATCTCGGTGGCTACAAGGTTCGATAGGGATGTATTGAGATGCTGCTTCGCTGTACTGCACCAGCCATGCAACGGTTGGAGAATCCACGCTTCGCACTTAACTTCAAAATTCGAGAAGTATAAATTGAACTTCTTTCCACATGCCAACGATATTTAGCCCGGATCAAAGTCAAGCATATAATTGACTCCGAATTTATTTGCAGACTGATGAACTTGCCGGATCTGTGACAAATCGTGTCGGGATTCTACGTAGATAAAGGGGGGCAACTGAGGGGACTCACCTGGGCCGGGTTCTGGCCTTTGAGGTTCCTGACGATGATGCGGAGAGCGTCCTTGGAGATTCTCCGTGTGCCCGGGCCACCCTGGCAGAGGAGAAGCGGGAAAGAACAGTGGAAGCTTCAGCAATCGACCCGGAGGCTTCAGATCGGGCAACAAGCCCATTGAGAGAAACGAAAACTCGGAAGGGTCAGCGTGATGAAGCAAGAGCAAGATCAGCCAGACGATTCGAGGCCACAGGACGGGGCAGTATGATTCCGAATCAAGCCCAACTTGTCGAAATACTGGCATACTACACCAGCATATCCCCGCACTGCCCCGCACTTCACTACTGTCACTTAGATGTAACTGCAGCTCCCAGCCCCCTCCAGCCCGCGGCACCAGCTGGATGTCCGCATCTTCGAGGAAGGCCGCCAGCTGGTTCTTGTCAGCCAGGTCGTACTCCTTCCCATCCTTTTCCGAACGCCGACTGCCCTCCTTTTGCAAGAGATCGCACAAATGTGACCGGGGATGCAGAGCGCCTGCGCTGCTTTGGAGGTGCCTGGATCCGCATGGTCGCATGAGCCTCGCCTCAGCAGAGCATCGAGCAAAATTGTCCAACATGCGGAAAGGAAATCCTCGCCTCATTTGCCGTTTATGGGCGTCCAGCCGAAGCTTGCTGGTCTCCCCCGGTGTCTCCTGCATCTGAACCTGCAGCTTCGGAGCGAGCAGATGATCTCAAGAGATCCGAAATCTAATCGAACGTCCCAAATGTCAAGCACTCTTGTGCTGTGGCCCCCGGTCCTCCTGATGCACGTGGTTCGGGAGGACCCCCAGGAAGCTCGCCTCTCTCTGGCCCTCGCCTCGGCTCTCCATCCAAGCTACCGGCAGCTCTCAGAGCGGGGGAGCTTTGTTCAGGGTGTCACCAGTGCTTTTCCAACTTTGGGGGGCGCGAGACCTTCTCGTTGGATTGAGGTTACGCACACACACACACACACCGGCGCAGAGGCGTGCTTTAGGATGCAGGTCTCGTGCTTGCTGGGCTCCAGGCGATCACCAGCAACTCCTGCAAAGTCCTAGCTCCAGGAGTCGTTGTTTGAGGGTAGGGCATGGCCACCACATGACTTCGTCCCACCTGCAGTGCCTGCTCGGTGACAGCATTGCCTCCCGTGCAAACACCGGCTGCCAGATGATGTCAAAACAGGCTGAAGAACCTTTTCTCCTCCAAGCATGCAGACGGCCTCTAAGCTCGGCGCTTCCCTCGCTGACTTGGTCCGTTTCGGCTCCCTGGCAGGGCTTGCAGACTCGAGCAAAGCAAAGCTAAGCTAGCCTCTCGACGTACTGGAATGTAATACTATAATATACTTTAAGACACCACTATAAATTGAATATACCATGGTATACCTTGACATAGTGCCATTATTTGCAGTAAGTCTGTCCCTGACAAATCCTCGCCTCGAAGCTCCAAAGTTCGAGCAACTTCGAAGCACGGGAATCCAAACACGCAGCCCTCCAGCGCCCAAGTCCGGTACACTTGGCAACACTACCAAACCGCTAAGACAAGGGGCTTCATGGGTTTGGACCAGTAGCTTCAGAGACTAACCTCATGTCTTGGCGGTCGGACACCCCCGTCAATCGTGACCCTTGCCTCTGAAATGACGAACCCGTACTTTCTTGGATCGACGAACTTGCGTCTTCCACGGGGCACAGGCCCGAGCCGAAGAGTGTATCACTGACTCGTATACTTCTCCTTCAACCCAACACCTGTTGCATCTATCTAGCTCATCTGGGAGATCTTCTGAGCTACCTCCGAGGTATTAGGCAAAGGCCCAATTCGATATCTCCGTCCATGATCTGGAAACCTGCAGACCCCTTGGTGAGCGTTCGCTGCCTACTGTCTGCACTCCATGGAACCCAACCGCATCCTCGCAACTGTGAAGCGACTCGACCGTACACTTCCTTCAGGTTGGTGTTTTGGCATCGAGCAAGTGACAGTAAGCCTTGCAAACTTGAAATAAA